CGCCCTCCCAGCGCTCCTGCGCTCGGCTCAGCCACCGGCCGCAGGGGAGACCCGGCGAGATCTTATCGTAAAGGTCCTGAGCTTTTCTGGGTATTAAAGATCCATTTCAGTGTTCTAAAAGAAGCTTGATGAAGTATTAAGCTTGATGCTCTGGCAAAATCCCAAGTTACATAATTATATTATTCCGCTTACTCGAATTGTCCTTTCAATTTCAAATAGAGATGATACAGTCATTCTCAAAGGGTAGCTTTTCCATCAGTTGTTAAATAGCTAATGCATTCCAGCAGCAGATAAAGCAATCTCTCTCTGTTCACCTCTTAACCATGTTTTTATAGTGGTGTGATGAAAAGTTAAATTCTATAGTGAAAACTACTATATAAAGAAAAGTCCTCATTAGGTGGATCTACTTTGCATTTCTTTATTAACATGTTTATTGTAGTAACTCAAGAAAATATCTAACAAATAATTCCTACTGTATCTGTGCATCATCCACAATTTTTTATCCTCTCTGCAAGTACATAAGCACAAAATAAAAATCTGACTGTGCTGTTGTGCAGATTGTTAGGAGATGGGGTTGCTTTTTTCATCTCTTTTTTTTTGAATGCACAATGATGTAGCTGATGGCAAAATTTGGCTCAGATATTTTTATTACCTATGATGATATAAGAAATGAGAGAAGTAGCCTGATTCTCAGATCTCAAGCTGAATTTGCATTCAACAAAACTGTGGTCAGTTGTCTCACACCAAAGAAATAGGAGAAAACCCTAGTAACATCTTGTGCTCAGTGCAAGTTGGTAGTAATTGCAAAGACCCAATCTGCTACAGTCAATTTAACTGCAAAGTTAAACTTCTAGTTTGTCCATTAGAAGGTTGAACAGAACTATTACACACTTGGGGAAATGTAGTAGCTTTTCCATCCTGGTTTTTTCCCAGGGCTGCATCAAGCTGTCAGTGTACGCAGGTAGTAGCATCAACTTGTAGATTTGGGGCATATTCTGCCATTATTTACCGCTGCTTTCAGAGAAATTTCTCATGTGGACATCACTTTTGCTATTGAGTCATCATGATTATTTTTGAATGGGAGTAGTTCAAGGAAGGCAATGGGCCCCGCTCATTTTGATGTAGGTAACTACCTGCATGAACAGTTAAAGAATGAGTCAGTTACATCAGGTGCTCTGCTGTAATAAAAGGCTTCAATTTCCATTATTAGATCTGGTTTTGCCTCCTCCCAACAGTTCTTGCTTAAAACTTCCTTTGGTTTGCTGTTCTGCTAGAAGTTTTGATATTACATAAAGTATTTCCTGCTCTTGAGTAGCAGGTTATACATCACAAATAGTCTTAGACCAGCAGGTTTTTTACTACATTTGAGGCTATTTGGATATTGTTTTTGAAAGAGATTGCAAAAATATAGATGTCAACAGTGAGTAATTCTGAAAGGACGTTAGCAGTTACATTTTAACTGTTCTTGTACCTGGGTTTGTCAATGGGATTTAGGTGCATTTGATAAATCTTAATTATATACAATTTCTAATTAGAAAATGATAGAAGGTGCCAGTGCCTCTTAGTGTGGTAACAATATGTAATCAGACATAAATATGTATAATTGACTTTGTTATTTACTGCTAAGTTAAGAACACTGCAAACTTTTCAATAGTCATGAAGAATACTGATAGTCTTCAGAAAGATTACCGTGCACTTCTCTATTTGCTAGGCAATATAATTAGATCTGAGTATTACAATATACCTATAAACTTTTCCATCTGAAGTCAGGATTTTTAAAATAAGGTTAGCATGTATTTTACATTTTTTATGGATTGTATCATAGATGGGATCACATTTTTCACTGAAGACAGGAATTATAAAAATAGTGCTGTGTGGCTGATTATTTTCAAAGTGACAGCTGAGGCCAATATTACTTGTGCTTCAACAAAAAGATCCTGTTGCCAAAATGGAAAAAAAAAAATAGAATGGATAATAGGGTTACTGAAACAGCATAGCAGTATTTCAGATTTAACTTCTCTATTGCTCTTGATTTCTTGACATACTTCTCAGTCTTCAATAAGAAAATTCTGAATTAGTAAAAATAAGAACTAGTACTATTTATTTGCAAAGTTTGAGATTATTTTAAGCATAACTTTATTTTCTGGATTAAAAAAAATAATTCTTTTGGTTATTAATACCTTTAAAACTGGCATGGTTAATGCTTTTACATTGCTTTAACAAAACTAAGCTCTGATTATTATAATATAGTAGAACCTTACGGACTTACTTCTCCTGTTCTTTTTAGGTGTCATTTATTTGAAAGTAGTTATAAAAGTCCTGAACTGACTTGGTGATTACTTTTCAATTAATTGTAGCAAATGTTTGTAATAAAGCTGTTAAGAAAGATACCCTCATAGGATTCGTCCATACTATCCATTCCTCCATTCCTATCATACTACACAGAATATGCCTATTAATCTGAAGCAGCAAAGTTGGTTCTTTTTTTGGGGGATTATAGTGCATTAATGATAAATCTGGCAGGAAGATTCAGTCTTAAAGCTTCTCATGGAAAATGAGAACAAAGAACGATGGTATTTCAACAGCCATCTGTCAGTTGGCGTGTCAACAGTATTTTTATATAGGTGAGATTTCACACTGAAGAAGCCTTCCAATAGCATTTCTCACCAGAGCTGTGTTATGGTGGATGCATTTTGAAAATTTATGTAGTTAGAACTATTTCTCATTTTTTCAGTTACTGTGACAATTACCTGGAACTACCCTTTCTCATTGATGTTGCTTTCTTAAGCCCAGTGGTAGAAAAGCAGTAACCTTATCCAAACATATTTTTGATGCTTATAGAATAGAAAACCAAAGTATGACATGAAACCTTTGACAAGAGATTTAACAATATTTAATGCTTTAATTCAAATAGTATGCATATACTGTTGTGAGCCAAGTTATGAGTAGTTAGAACCTATGGTAAACTTTATTATAAGAAAGCTATTAAAGCACCAATAATGTATTGTATATCAAGTGATGCAATGATGCACTACAGAGCATGCAAAATACCTTAAAGCAAAAGATACCAAGTCATTGTTTTGTTAACTTGACAACAGCTTAAATTTCAGCATGAGGTTATTTAATTCCAAAAAACAGGAGGTGGCTAATCTATGTTTATCATATTGTGACAGAGGGCTACAGACAACTTTGCTGCCACAGTGGCATTATGCATTTAGCCTTATTCTCTGACCATCTGAAAAAGACAGGAAGATATATTGAATTGTGCTTCCACTTAATTATGAAATCTATTATTACTTTTGCTGTTGGAAGCAAATTCTATCAATGGGGTTTAAAAAGTCCAATAGCATTGAGTATTAATCTAAAAATCTTACCTTTTCTCTAAGAGAAATATTGAAGGTGTGCATTAAGGAAATATGCTATCCTGAACAGTAACAGTAAAGTATTATGAAAGTCTCCTTTGTTGGAATCTGAACAGTTCATAGTGGAAGTATCTAGTATAACTTCATAGCTTAGTAGACCGCTTATCAGTACTCTTCTGATTTTTGGCTTGGTGTTGCTGTATGAATGGGTCACTGTTCAGCAGTGCCGTGGTAACAAATTGTTTGACTGTGATTCGGGGTGGACGTTACCAGTTCAGCTTTGTACCTGCTTTCTCTCTTCTGTTGCTGTGTTGACAAGCGAAGGTAGTGTTACAGGACAAGCACCACACTGGAGGAGATAACTACTGCAGAGGTGATGCATATAAGACCAACACTTTGTAGTTTGTTGAGAAAGTGTGTTCTAGTTTATCAAACAGTATTTATTAGGAATGCAAATTAACATATTTAAATGCACAATTAATCATGTAAACTCATATCACCAAGGAACAACTATTAAATAAAAGCCTGATTATTTTTAGAGACTCTTCCAGGATCCAAAGAACACTGAGCAATTGTAACTTATCACTATTTAAAATATATAAAGTTGAGCTACTCATCTTACGTAATTATTACAGCTTTATGAAATTTGGGCATAGTAGTGTACATAGTGTACACTGCTTATTCTAAGTGTCCTATTATTTTCTTAATTTAATCTTAGTATATCTCATCCCTTAGCAATAAATGTTAGGGAGTCAATCTTCATTCTCCTTCCACTCTAAAATGTGTCTTTTAACTTCTTTAAAAAACAAACCAAACAAAAAAACCCCCATACCTTTCTTGTAAGTTAAAAAAAAAAAAGTTACTTCCATGATGACTTAGGTCTTTTTAAAATAAATGTGGTTATAGTTTAATTATAAAAACAGTTTATGTAATGCTGATACATTTTTATGATTTTAATTTTTTAATGTGTTGTCTTCTCTCTAGAACTAACACGCATAAATACTGCATCTATCCCATGATAAGCTACTGAACTAGCATTAACATTGCAGGTTTCTTTTAGTTTTCCAATTCCTAAATTCTTTAGCTACTGTACATATGGATTTAAACAAAGAAAAAATACAGCATACATACTTTAGCTTGAGTACCATTTAGTACAATCAAAATAATTAATGATCAAGTCATCTGAGAAATTGCTCGAGCTTAATTTTCAGAAATGCCAGTCATTTTGCAGGAATGTATAAATGACAAGACCAATTCAAGTGGTACAAAGTATTCTGCTCGCTGAAATGCTAAACTTTATTTACACTGCTTTCTTTCTATCAAATATTATGAAAGAATTGATGGCACGTAAACAATGGTACATGCAATTTGATCCCTTTACTAAGAAAAATACATTTACAGTTCTGTTAAATAAAGACCAAATGTTACTATATACAGTCTGTTAACCGAAAGGCCTTGTGAGACATTCAGGTCTAATTTTAATACTTTCCAAATAAATACCAAATAATGCAACATTTACAAATAGCACACCAGCAGTATTTTCACGGTAATCACTTTACAGATCAGAATTTAGTATTTCAATTAAGCAAATGAGTAGGAGCTCCTTCATAAATATTAAGGCATGTCACATAGCATCAAAATGGAACCGATGAGCCTCCTGTCGCTTCTCTCTGTCATCTGCTTTCTGAAAAATAATAATGAAAAAACACTTTGTGGGATCTAGAGCAATACTGTTACAGAAATGAATTGTCAAATGTCAGAGGATGGTTGATTTTTTCCAAGTCATTCATTTGACAAAAGGCAAAAAGCTTAGTAAAAGTCCCAGTAATTAGCTTTTAAATGATGTCAGTTTGAAATAGCAATAATCTACTCAAAATTGGCTTCTGCTGTTAATGTTCAGCTGGTTTAGTATTTATGACCCATTATTTTCTATTATTTCTAACAATGTTTTTTAAAAGGAATATTTAAAAAATGAAGAATGTTTCCTAGTATGCATTTATTTAGTCTTCATCATAAGTATGAGATAAAATTGCTCTGGATTAACTGTAAATGTCATCTATGTTACACTTAAAATGAGATTATTTGTAAAAATTTCTGTCAAATACAAATTTAGACAAAGATGGCAGTTCAATAATTAACAGAACCAAGTAGGCTAAAAGTGGTCCATGTTCTTGATTGTATTATGAAAACATGAAGTAGGATGCATTTCCCTGCTTGTTTATGCAGAACACACATTGAAAGAGTAGCTTGGATAGTGCTTGTAAAAAAGAAGCGTATTTAAATTGTACCTATAATCCATGTAATGTGTAAAAACATGTCCTCTGCCACAAGCCTCCTCTTGTGTTCTCAAGCAGTAACAGAGTATGAAAGCACATCTTAAAGGATTTTTGAACACATAGTGCAAATTTTTCTAGAAAACAGTGTTTTTGTCATGACAGACAGTATGTGTAAATCTTAGCATAAGACAATTTAGCAAAACAGATTTAAATGCTTTTTAGCTTGCTTATGCCTTTTTTTTTTTTTTGATGAGTAAAATGACAAAAAGCCTTTACAGTATGCTGTTGTGTGGGCATTCAGATTTGTATCTTGGTTGATATATATACATGACAATTTTGGTAGAAATTGGTGCATGTGTTCTGCCATGAAAGTTCGTCATCTGCTTTGGAGCAATGCCAAAGATTTCCTCATCACACAATGTTTATGTACAATAGCAACTCTGTTCGATTAACTATGGATTTTACTGCATTTTGTGGCAGCAGCAGAGCTGTCAGTGAAGTTTAAGATATATCAGTATGGCTTTTTTGCAGGGACTTTATCAATGTCAGTAGTATTCTGAACGTCAAAAATGGGGTGGGAAGAAGGGAGTGGCATACTCTTTCCTACATTGAAATGCTTGTCACATTCCACAAAATTTTATAGTCTCACTTAGAAAGCAATTTTCATTCAATTTCGTCTATGCTTGCTGAAAAAATTACTACTTCAAATTTGACAGTTACTGATACTCTGATGAATCCATCAAAACTTCTCTAGCAGTATTAACATCAATGTGTAGTGTTCACATGACTAGCCTCAAGACCACAAAGCAAGTTATAAAGAATCAGAATAGAGGAATATCAAGGTCCTTAGCTAATGTAGCAGACTATATTGTTGTAAGATGAATAACGGTGTAAATTCTTCCTCAATTTCTCTTTCATTTGATGTATCAAAACTAAAAACTAGTAACTATTTAAAAGTTTTTTTTTTTTTAAATGGATCTAAAATTTCTATGGCATGACAGAGCAACATACTATTCCTAAATCCTACAGTTATTTAAACAGTACAATACTTGACTGGCAGACGAGTGTAGAAGAACTATTGTAGACAAAGGGCTCCTACTACTACTTATCTGCAGAGGTCAATGTACACGGTTTATTTTAACTGCTGCATAAAACACTGCAGCTTACACATAAATATATCCTCTGGAGGAAAAGAAAGGATTGTAACTGCCAGTACATTTCCCCTTCCTTTCTTTGCTATAGGTACTCTAGAGATCTGTAAGGGAAAACAGCATTTAGGCAGAACAGTATTTTTACGAGAGGAATACTGCAAGACACAGTAAACCAAGAACAAGCTTAGAAACAAGGAACTTTGGAGTTTAACTCCCAGTCATGTCAGTGATGCACAATACAGCCTTGGTCAATATTCTTGTTTGTTTTATACCTCAACCATTTCTTCTAAAAACTGGGAAGGTAAAAATCAATAGGAGGCCTTTGGAAAATTATAGTAATTAACAAATATTTATACAGTAGTCTGACAATACACACAATTTATCCAAATAATTGTGCCTATTTTGAGCAAGATGCAGCTGTTGGAAATGAGTTTATAATATAGCCGATACACCACTTCATTCACATATACCTAATGGGGTTTGAAATGGCTCAGAAAGCACTCACTCTGGGCTGAGTGCTTCTTTACATTACAATACATGAATTATTATAAGAAGAATCATTTTAAACGTTGACATAAAATTGCCATTTCTCCAGATGGAATTATACATAGTTAACTCGTCCCCAACTCAAATCCAAGTATTTTTTTCTGCTACTCTTGTTGCTTAAGATGTGTTGGAGACAGTTAAACCCAGCCAGTGCATAGACCCAGCTACAAGTTATCAGTGCTTTCTTGGTACCGTAGGACATGCTAAGGGCAGTCATCATAAACTTTGTATTTCTTTGTATGTTTTATTTCCAGCCTTACTATTATTTGGAGACCGTATTTAACATTTTGAAGAGTGAAGACTGACAAATAACATTTAAATATGAAGCATGCGCAAAGCCTATCTGAATGTTTAACAAGGTCATTTTATTTCCACAAGCACAAAATAACAAACAATTCTACCATGTCAAAATGTGCAGTAATTTTATTTGACAGCTAAGATTATGGTTTGGGTATAGAGTAGCATTTATTGGCAATCCTGCCAGTTGGATATGATTGTGAACTGAGTATAGTTAAGAAAAATGGGAATGCATTTCTTTTGTGACATGAAAGGCCCCTTTCAAAATGCTTCTTCAAACCAATGGATTTCTATACACTGCATGTATAATTCAGACACACAGAGCAAAGCAGCCAATATGCACACGATTGACTCCGTATACAGTCTTGAATGCTAATGTCAGGGCAATCAGCAAAGATGGATACAGAAAAGGAGATGTTTTCTTTATTTTTAGATTACCAGGAGAACTCAAGATAAGTAAATTCAGTTTATGTTCCATTTTCCAAAACAGTACTCCTTAAAACTCTGCAAAATAGAAAGCTTAGATATGAAACAAAAATGTCTCATTCAGTTAGGAATAACAGCTTAATGGCAAAAGCTTATCCACGCTGCTCTTCATTTCCCTTTTTAAGCATTTTAGAGCTTAAATAAAAACAATGCCAATTGTTAAGCTTGCAGTAAATACTGAATTAATAATAAACACCTTTTGGGAATTAATGCAGTCTGTGTCAGAAATTATACTGTAGCAAACTACTCAAAAAAACCCCTAATGTACAAGACTGTAAAATATTAGGAAGTTTTAAATAGTATAGAAAATATAGAAAAACGTAGTTAATTAAGCTTACCTTTTCTTGCCAGTGTAATATGCCAATTATTGCCAGGATGAAAACACAGACACCAATTAAGGCTATAGCTGTTAGCAGCACAATGTTACTTGGGGTCAGATATAGCTTGGCGCTCCAGCTATACAAAAGAAGAAAATCCAAGGAAACATTAATACCTTTCATTAGGAAGCCGAAAACAGATTCAACTTAGAAAGATGAAAAGAGTCTGCTGGTGTAAGACAGGTAACAACTTGCTCTACAGAAACTAGTGGCTGTATTTAGAGACTGAAGCTTAATGGTGTTTACCTGGAAATATATGGCTTAATATCATTACTTTCAGGTAATGCCATGTCTAAATTCAGTTTCTGTTTAACTTTTCAGGAATGCTATGGATATCCTCAGGGACTGACTTTTTTCTCATTAGGAGATTTATCTTCCGCCCCTGCCCAGGACAAAGTAAAATGTGTAAGAAAGCCTTCCGCGAAACTGCGTGCGGCTTGGGGAGATAGAGAAGCAGGGTGAAATAAGCCTGTAAGACAGACTGTTTCCTCCACATGAGGAGCTCCTCTTGGACAGGCTCATGGGGTCCAGTTGCCTAGGCATCTCTCAGTCTGAAGTCTACCCAGGGACAGCTGCAGTTGTAGGCAATAGAACCAGTTGATTATGGCAGGAGAATGCTGGAGAGCAACAAAATTAAGCAGTTTAAGGGCTTCTGGAGACATTGCTTGAATGTTGTGGGGTTCTGAGACTCAGTTAATACCCTTTTTGTACTCCAGGCTTCCTATCATGGGAAAATTGTCAGCAGGAGGCTCTGCGTTGAGGCAGCACTGAGGCTTCTCAGGAAACAACACATCTATGCTAAAAAAAATTTATAAATTTAAGAAGTGTTTATTATGACATCTGATTTCTTCTGGGGATTCTATCCTCTGCTATTCTACACTGTCCATAAACTTACTTTATAGGAAAGCAAAAATAGATTAAGGATAAGACAACAGAAAAATTTCTGCATAACACACACCTTTAAATACTTCAACACTATAAGTAAATTTTCTTCATCTAGCAGATGTTATTCCTGTGGTTGTTAATTAGCAACTCAAGTGGCACATCACTTCTCCACTGTTATTTGTCCTATAGTAAAATTAACTGCTGAAACTGATTTCAGAATAATTTCTGCATGATAAATGCAACTGACCTCACTAGTAGATCAAGCGGCAAAAAGCAGCTGGAATAGATGACTAATGTTTTCTCCAATAGCAAAGAGAGAAACATGCTTTCTTTCTGGGAGAAACATTTTAATTGCAAAGTGATTTCAGTGTTCAAGCTCTTGTGTAACCAACCCATTCACCTTTACTTAAAGAAAAACATTTATACCTGTGGCAACAGATACTGCATTCAGAAGGGCTGAACTAAAGCTTTTATATGCAACTAGACAGAAATTGCATGTTTGGTGAAACAAAAATGCTTGCTTCAATCATTACCATGCTTGCAATTTGTCAAAAAGGACATTGGTAAATCTAGCAAATATGTTATTATTTACAAGAGTTCAGCTGGTAATTCATTTTTGATTGTTTGTATGGGCTGGTAAAAAATTTTGATTGTTTACGGGCACTATCTAAGAGTCTATGTAAATACGTGAGAAGTATTCTGCCTGGTCACAGAGAGGCAATGACATCTATAGAATTGACACCCTCCCGCCATTGTTCTGAAACTTACTTTCTGTACAAGTGACTATTTTTAAACCTGCACATAATGTCTAATTTAAACTCTGTATTAATGTAATTTTGTGATGTGCAGATCACAATGAAGAATGAAGAAGTTACCTTCGAGGAACATTATGGGGATAAGGGATGACTATAAGCTGGGAGTTTGGTATGATAGCTGTCCATTCTTGTTTTCTTATGGACTGAAAGAAAAACAGGCTATGTCAATTCCTAACAAACCAACATACTTAAAAGCAAAGAAATTCTCTGTTGAAATATACAAAAGGAGAAACAATGAAACACTCGCTTTTTTAATTTTAAATATAAGTGATTATTCCCTTATGTTTGTATAAATCTTTTATTCTGAAAAAAAAATAATTATTGCTGATATGAAACACAGCACATGCTTAAAAAGTACAAAGCTGAAGAAAAGAACCAGTTCTACAAAGGAGGCAGGAAAAGCAATTATCCAAATCCGAATTTGGCCAGTATGCTAATTTGAATACTTCACTTTTTAAAAGTAGTGACATCAGATCTTTAAAGACTGACAATAGTCAGGACCCTACTTTTATGTTTCACCTGAAGATTAGATAATCACAACAATCTCCACCTCACATCATACTGATTGTGGTTTTGTCGCTGAGGCAGAAAGGATCATGTGAGTTTACAGGCCGGCCAGACCAACCACAGGAAAGTCTTACAGCTGAGACCAGAATAATTTGGACCATCAGATCTAATACACATTTACCATATAAACAAGCACCATATACCTGTGCTAACATTTACAGACGGCTTCAGTCATCCTTTGGTCTTAGTGTTAGCTTCAGAGCTTATACACCCCCCCAAAAACCAAGCATACAAGTTTCTTTTTGGCAAACTATTCTGTATTCAAACTTACTACTTTGATATTCTTGCTTCTGGGGGGGGGAAAAAAAAAAGCATCCCTAGCCGTATTTCCATCCAAACTCTATTAGGAAAGGTAACACCATAAATATTAGCTTGATTATCTTAAATCTCAACTAACCTTTTCTCCTAATGGACGAGGAATGCCAACGTACAAATGGTCAAGGAAATTAGCACTACGTCCCAAACCTAGCACGTTGTATGGCAACTGGAGAGCAAAATGTGCTGACTGGCTAAGCTGTCCAGCTGAAATAGAATTAGAAAAGAAGCCCAAGTAAGTATTTAGGATAAAAACAACCACCAACCCCAACCCCCCAACTTTCTACACAAATATACATTTCAGAGTCAGTAATAAAAATGTTTAAAAAATTGTAACCAACCACATGATTGTTTAATTCTTGAAGGCTCAATCCCACATTTCCAAACTACTTGTGGGCACTCACTTAGAGAACAGCTTAAATGCTTTACGTTTCCAAGTAAAATGATTCTTTTGAGCACCATTTCTATGTTGAACTGAATCTCCAGTATTTGTTACAGGTTGAGAAGAAATCAGCTATCCGCATTTATTTTCCTACGAGTAATACTAAGTCTATTGCTCCATTGATTTATAAGCTCAGACTCAACGTGTGAAGGTTCACTTTAATTCTTACCAGTGTTAATCAGTAACTACTGTTTTTTCTTGTGTCACAAAATTTGCTAAGTAAATTCTTACGAACAAATTCTCAAATAATAAATTGATTCAATGAAAACTGGTTTACAGTGGTTGCAAGTTAGGTCCTGGTGAGAGCATGTAATTATAAATAATTAAAGGAGAGACGTAGGGGGAAAATATCATTCTTTGCTTCCTGAAAAGGCAGTAGGGAAACAGACAAGCGTTGCAGCTATCAACAGGTTCACTAACATCCCATTTTCAAAGTATTTAATTATCCCATTTAAATAAAAGTCTCATCATCTTTTAATTTCTGGCAAACTGATTCAGACCCTACGTAGATTCTTTGTTCATTGTCTAGAAAGCCTCTTAGTGATCTGGTTACACAGCATGAATGGTATCAGCACCTCACAAGCACCACAGTGAATTCAGCCCTTCACCAGACTAACAGAAATGAGTTCAAGGGATACTTGACAACCTCAGGTAGGTTTATGTCATCAATAGAAACAGTTTTTCACAAAGATATGATGTATTTAAGTGGCAGATTTCTCTCTGCTTTAACATCTGATAGATTATGCCTGAAATTTATTACAATAAGTGACAAAACATAACAGAATGTGAATTAAAGAACATGAATTCACATTTTGTAATGCATTTACAGCCAACTGCTTTCTACGTCTCCACACTTTCTTCCAAGGTTCAATTCTGAAAGTCAGTCTTTTGCTTCAGACAACTTTGCCATCCTAGTTGCACTGCAACTTGCACAGCTGCAGTGAACAGAAGTGGGGAAAAACTGCCAAACCACTACCACTACAACTTCTTTGGCAAAGTCAAACATCCTTTGAAGAAAAAAACAGAAACAAACTCCCATGTTTTGCTGCTGGAGATAGCCTAATAAGTGCAAGCATGCATTTGCTGCTGTTGAACAGCAATGATCCCTGTGGGAAGTCTCTGGAAAGTGACTGTACTAGAGTATTATAAAAAGCTCTTACACCAAGGGACTACCAAGATGAGACACCTACTTCCAGAAGCATTCAGCTTTTGTATCCTCTCATGGGGGACAAACTACTTTGTATATTGGATCATGGTAATTTTGAACCCCTATTCAATACAATGGTGACTTCACAGTTCTATTTTTCTGAACCTCCACACCCTCCACCAGCTTTTTAGGAAGAAGCTTGCCATATGCTATCAGGCATGTTTTGAAACAGGCCCTTTCAATCGTGAGATAAATATTCTGTATTATTGTAGTTTTATTTAAAAATATAAACATCAACTAAATACACTTAGATGAAATCTGAAAAATTAGCTTGATGCAGTTACCTTTTTATTAAGCTAAAATGCTATTAGCAAAAAAAACAATAACAGGTTTCCTAAAAATTAGGCATATTTTAGATATAATTTCCTCCATGCAGAGCCATGTAATGGGCAAGTAGACGTGGAAATATTTACATAGGGTTTGTACTTTCAGTCTTCTGGTGTGAGGGCAAGGTGGACTGTGTACATTGTTAGGTGAATTCCTAGATTACGGAATCTGTGGCAGACAGCATTAGCTGAGAAGCTTTTCTCTAAGAATGGGGATTTTTCCAGTAAGTTGAGATAACAGTATAGGCCTTGAGTCTGTCCCTGCTTTGTCACTGACTTCCCTTACATAATCTTGGCTAAATTGCTCAATCTCTAGGTCTCAATTTCCAAATAAAAAAATTGAGTAATTCTCAAATTAGAGTAAGCTCATACTATCTCAAAGCACTGGTTACCAATATAAAAGTAGAAAGGAACAAAGGTAGTTTTATTAAATTTAAGTTAGGTATACAAACAAGGTATGTATTACTTGATAATGCTATAACATAATAAAGAATTTTCTTTAAAAATTTGCTTCATTAATGCTGAATTCTGAAGGAGTTTTCCCCAATAAACAAGGTGCAAGCTTTTTAACACTGAAAAGCTTTTAGAATGATTTTTGAGTGAAATATTTAGGATTATGAGGAGACTGCAGCTGACATCTTCCTTTTTTCTTTCATCATACAAATGAGATGAATGTCAACTAAATTAAAGGAAATAAAAGAAAATGTCATACACTGTGTGCAGTCAGCCTTAAAGAGGTTAGAGAGTCAGATACTGCAGCTAGAATTCTTAAAAGCATTGAATAATTTCATGGCTACTAACACTGGTTCTTATGCCTACTAAGATAAGGATAATGAAATGCTTCAGGATGTAAATAGATCATTTGCAAAGGTCAGAAAGGAATGTTTTCTTCTACATAGCAGGCAGAAAACGTGCACGTACCTTTTCTTTATTTGCCTTTAAAATTGGGAGATACTAGCTAAGCAGGACTTGGGATGATAGCATATGGAAGGTTCTAGTTTACTTTAAAGCTAACTACAAATATGAGATCTCTGAGACTATTTCTTGCTTTACTCCACCTATATCTATCATAAATTCTGTAACAGTTTGATGGTTACTCAAATGTTCCGCTCAGAATTGCAAACAAGTAATTAAGAATGACAAGTGTTCAGCTGAGAAACATAAAAACCTTGAACAAAGATTAAAAATAAAAAGAGAAATTACAGAGAGCACTGTTAACAGTTTAGTGTAATTTCTGAAGTTCTCAATCACTGCTAATTAATTTACTTATGAAAGTAAATAGAGACATAGTTTTCAGTGGTTTCAGCCTGTCAGAGACCAAATTTTTAAGAAATAGCCAATGATGTTGGGCAGCCAAACCTTACAAAATTTGCAGAGTTTGATATTCAGAAATCATTCTGAATATCTCTGAATCAATCTCCTTATTTTTGAAGTCTGGCATATAAAATTTGAAGCAATACATATCATTAACCTTTTGAAAGTCTTGTCTGAAAAACACAATGATGTGTTGTCTATGCCACATACAGTACTACTTCTTTTATATCTGAATTAAGGCATTTCCCTTCCATTTCCATTAGACTGAAGTAAACTTGCTTAAAGCTTAAGAGTAGCCCACTATGCCCTGGGTTAAACTGCAATGTCCTCAACAGCTTATTTCAGGGTGACTAGACTTAAGAGCGTAAGTGCTTAAATGAAGCCAATTTAACTTTATGAAGGGAAGGTGACTGCATTTACATGTAGAAGCAGTCCGTCCTATTGTTTTTTTAAACAGAACTGATAATGTGTGATACTGGATTTAGGAACAGACTAGTTGAACTTACATAGACAGATTCACAAAACTGATATTGTTCAGCCAGTTTCAATAAGCTTATTTTGTGGAATAATAGAGCAGGACATACGAGATCACCACACAAAGTTGAAAGACTAATGGAAACTCAGATTTCAAACCTGCAGTCTCCTGAAGTGCCACTCCTTTAGTTTTTTTTATTATGCTTTTCTTGACAAAATATCATTTGCTTTGAAGTAGTCCATTAGAGCCATTCAGACTAATTCACAATTCAGTAATAATATTTAGGCTTTCTAAAGTCCCCCAAATTCAATATATTAGAGGACTGAACAGCTAGATGTGTGTTCATAAATAAAAATGTTATGTCATTATTTCTTCCAGTTACTATATTTTCCTCTAATTTGCAAAATGATGCATTTATCACAAGCTTTAATACATTCACCAAAATAGTAACTGAAGATATTTGTGAAGTGTGAATCAACTTGTCAAACCCCAAAAATACAACAAGGAGTTGCTTTGGTTTAGACATACATTCTTTGTACTCATTGACAATGTAGGTGGCTTTTCTGGTAAAAAAAAACCAAACCCAGTTCATTGCGTAAAACATAGTATCCAAGTTGTAGCCTGTAGTCTCAGACTTGCATCTAAATTCTTCTGTACCATCACCTATCTTAATACTGAGGTCAACACATGATTGACTGCTTGCTTATAGATCAGATACACATGTGCATCCTAGAAAAACTGAAAGTTATTCCAAAAAACTACACACAGAAGTTGCACGAATTGCTGCATAGCTGTGAACAATGTACATGGAACAGCTGGAATAAGACAAAGCCAATTCAAGAGTTAGGTAAAATTACACAGTGAATGTGCATCACTTAAGCTGCATCACTGAAACACTACAATGGTATTTACAGTGATTATCAGTATTGTGCTACATTGCATACCAAAGTGTTTCCCCATCTTTTGAAGTTGGCAGCTCCTTATTTTATTTGAAAATATGCCAGAACCACTTACTGCAAAAGAAGGGGAAAAATATAACTGATAATAATGAAATACTTGTGTAATATGCGTAATAATACAAAGCAGCTTTCAGGAAAAACAAAAACAAAACAAAAAACCAAAAAACCAAACCCCTAACAACTTCAAACCTGAAAGCTTTTTAGAAACTTGGTGAATTTTATTTCCTTGGCTGTAGTTGAAAGCTTTACTTCAGTTCCCTTATTACTGCCTTTGGGGTTGTAGGTCACTGGTTGTAAAAAAAAAAAAAAAAAAAAAAAAGTGGAGAAAGAGCTCTTTTTTGGCTTAAAATTATTTAATGGCAACTTCAGCTGAGGATGTCTCTCTCTTCTGACTTAGCTGTTGGCTTCTTTTCATTGGTTCACACAATAGGAAATTCTGGATTAATGCAGTACACAATTTCATCTCAACTTTTTCTGCAATTTC